TAATACTTTTGCTCTGATTTAGAACTATGAATGTCTGGTGTTGAAATCAGCTTACAATTTGAGTCGCTTGAAACATTGGTTCTGAATTCCCAAACCACATGCTGCTCATCTGGCTTTAGTAGTTACTTTCACACAAAAGGGTAGATTCAGCTATCAGGGGACTCAAGGGAACAAGTGTTTATCATTTTGGGTCATGGCCAGGAAAAGCTTCATGGACACGACAGTTTCAGTTATGTGAAATTGCTGAATGTCACTGAGCCAGAAATTTGAGATTAATTCACATATTTGGAGCGAAAAATATGACAAATCAGATCAATTTCCCTCCTGTGGAGCGGTTTGTGGTAGCATAAATTTTTCTTAAAAAAAAAATCTAATTGTGATGGCTTCATTAAAATGCAAATGAAACAAACAGTCACCAGAACCCAGTCAAAAATCCATAGCACTTAAGTGTTTGGGAAATTGATAGCCCTCTGCTCTAAGAGAATGGGGGAACACTAAAAGACATCACACATTTCTTTTAAAAACCAGTACTCAGGGCTTTTCCGCATCTACCTCTAAGGAACAGATTAATGACTAGTTCCCATTTCACTTACCTGGGGTGGGATATGGAGGTGTAGCGTTGCCTTCCCAAACTTCAGTGCACAGAGGAGCTGTAGATCCCACTCTGGGATAGGGCCTGAGATTCTGCGTTTGTAGCGAGTCCCAGAGGAAGCTGCTGCTGTTGCTGGGGTGGTGACTCATATTGTAGCACATAGGTTGAGAGGAGCAAAGGAGAGTGCAGTCTGCAGAGAAGTTTTGTCCTAGAAACATGACCAGGTCCAGGATTGCTTTCTATGTTCTGTCTTGGGTGCTTAACATCAAGGCCCCTGTGGAATTTGATTTCTCTGTGGATACAAGAAGTTGGTTGTTTTGCTGATTTGAGCTATGCTGAGGTTTTACTAAGTAAACTGTTTTTACCATTTCCATATAAATTTTAGAGTGTGTCAATTTATTTAAAAGATCCTGCTGTGTTTTTTTTGGTGTGTATTTTGTTTGGCTGTGCACGTGCATGGCGGTACTAGGGCTTGAACTCAGGGCTTGGCAGCTGTTCTTATCTTTGGTTCGCTTAGACTGATGTTCAACCACTTGAGCCACACCTCCACTTCCAGATTTTTGGTGGTTAACTGGAGAGATAAGAGTCTGACAACCTTTCCAGCCTGTGCTGGCTTCAAACTGAGATCCTGAGATCTCAGCCTCCTGGCGTGAGCCCTTAGTACTCAGCTGAGTCTTGGGTTTTGAGTGCCTTGAATTTTCAAAGAAGGGATCTTCAACATTTCAGTCATATTGATGAGGGATTGTTATGTGAATTCCATGGGCAATCAGCTTCCCAGATTTTAAATGCCTTCAATCAAAGACCACAACATCCTACTAAACATTTTTCAACAGATAACAATCCTATTGTTTACCAACTTACAGGGCTTATGTTTCTGAAAAGTACTGTCCTTGGCAAAATCTCCTCATTGTGGAATTACTACATTCAGATTGTTTATTTACTCATCCATTAGAAAGAATGATAAGACTTGGAAAAAATCATGTTAAATGAAGTAAGTCAGGTCCAGAGAGACGGAGGAGCCATGTTTTCCCTTTTGGAAGCTAGATGTAGCTTACAAACTCATAAGCAAATATGATGGGTGGACTGCAAGTATTATAAATGTACTAGCTAAAACATGGCAGATTTAAAGGAGATCTCAAATAGTGTAATTCCTCAAAAAGGCAAAAATCAAAGTTAAGCAAAATAAAAGAGCAGGAAGTGGGTACATGACAGGAGTGGGTCAAATCAAGGGACAAAGGGTAGGTGAATGAAGAGGAGAAGAGCGGGAGAATGCAGTGAAGAATCCAATCTATGGGGCTGGGAAGGTGGCTCAGTGGTAGAGCGCTTGCCTTGCATGCATGGGGCCCTGGGTTCGATTCTTTTTTTTTTAATTTAATTTTATTTTATTTGTGAACATACTGTACAGAGGGGTTACAATTACATGGGCAGGATAATGCATACATTTCTTACCAAGCATTGGAGC